CAATTGAAGTGGGCTGCAGGGGCTTCGCAGGACAGTCTCTACACCGGGTCCTGGGGCTCTTAGGGATTTGCGGGCTGCACAGACGAAGAGGCACCAAGAACATCCTGGAGGCGGCTGAAAAGGCTTCACGGTGGCTCTGGTTAAGGAGGGGGGACACGTGGCGTAGTGCGCTACCTGGACACAAGTCGGGGCCTGATCAACCCCGGCTGGGTCGCCCGGGTGAGGGTGTCTGATGTAAGACCCGAAACACCCTATGACCCCGGGAACATCACTGACGATGTGTCCAGGTAGCACCACAAGGTGTATTCAAGTACCTACAGTACCCTAATCTTCAGCCATCAACCTCAACTTCTGCCTTACCTACACCTTCAGTCAGAATACACAGGTCTCATTATTCAACTATGGTCTGAATCTAAAAAAGCCTCTGCTGGTAAACCTGCCTGAAAGCTGCAGACCTTGCCTCCAATGATGACTCATGACAAAAGAAAGTATCATTTGCAAATATTAGGTTCCTCAACTATGTGGGCAAAATGAAAAAAAAAGCTGCTCCCAAAGCACTGACCTTAAGATGTAACTAGCAGCCTGCAGCTTTCTCCAACCACAGTTCAAGATTCCCATCCAGGAATCCCAAGACCCTCATATTCACCAAACAAATATCTCTGAGAAACGAAAAAGAAACTGAACAAGTGCTATCTCCTCTATCATAATACTATCCACAGAGACTGCATAGCATATACATAAGATACATGTAATGAGATGGCAAAAAGTGTGTACATGCAATATCTAAGTAACATTCAAAACATAATACTAAACAGAGAAAATGCAGACCATGGATGAGATGGACCATAAATGGTTACCACACATCATTAATTTTCTCTAATAACTTTGACAAACAATTAATATTTGATACTTTAGCATAATGTAAACAAGCTGTAGAGAGTTCCAGCTGCACATATCCTGGTAAGCAGAAAGTCATTCCCTAACCGCTAGTGCATGTTGTGGTTTCCTACGACAGGCCATCATTCTTTTAACGGCTGTAAAACAACAACAACAGACGCTTATTAGCTACAGTTAGTTTTAAAGACAAGGTATCATTGAGTAAAAGCAAACTCTGTGAGTGAGGGATGGCCTGTTCAGTTATATTCGACATAATTCTCAAGGCATTGTTCCAAATTCTATTAACCTGAGGACACTGCCAAACCACATGATACACAGTAGCAATAGTATTGTTTAGACAGAAATCACAAAATGGATCATCTCTGAGTTTCATTTATTGTCATTTTCAAGGAGTTAGTAAGACCTTCAAATGAATGTATAGTGTATCATTCGATAATCTAGAGTCCCAGACGACAATAATACATTTGACCATATACAGTAGAGTACCAATCTCGATTCTGGGGGATGTTAATATATGTCTTCCAGAGTCTGTTAAGTGAGGTTTGTGTAAGGCTTGAATTACACATTTATATAAGTCAGAGATAATACCACTGTTTTCACCTTTGAGCTCAAAAACAACAGGAAGAGGATGGATTGCTAACATAGTGCCCCAAAGAACACCTTGAGTGTACATCGCTTCACGTAATTATAATAAGAAATCAACCAGGTAGATTTTAAGACCTCGATTAAAAGAAAATGATTGTAAAAAAAAAAAGGAGATTGAGCAAATTTTTTTTTTTTTAATTTGGCAAAATGATTTGTACCTTTTGTTCTTTTTGTTCCACGAAAAAGTTCTGATAACCGAACGCAGCTTCTCCCCTGGTGGACCCACAGGACTCATGGAGCTAAAGAAATTTATAAGAGGTAATATGTTTACAGTTGTGTCAGAGTTCATTAATGTGTGATTTATTTTCCTAACAATGATGTTATGCTCATGTTTTATTGACCAAGGAAAGTTGAATCTGAATATTGTTTCAACTGTACCAAAGTAGCTCATATGGTGAGCCTCAGTTACATCAACATACACAAACAAGGTGACACAAACAAGGTGAATTATCAATGATATTGGTGTTGCGTTTTTACTTACCTGGGGCAGCGGCCGCACATCACTCTGTACATTATGATATCTGCTTGTGAGACTCCTCTCTCTAACTGGGCTGAGCAAAGCAGTTTCAAATAAACAGTATCTCACTGTAATGTGCCATTTACAGTCAGGTGACAACCAGCTTGTAATCATAAAGTATGTCATTGTAGAAAAATATGTAAGCTGCTCTAACTAATATTTACCTATGATAGTTTGCAATCTACTGTTGTGTTTTGTAAAATGACAAAACAAGGAGTTTTAGTATTTTTTTTATTTAAATTACATTTTGATTAAAATGGAAACTACTGCAATTTGTTCCAGTGCATGCCACACACACACGCACACACACACACACACACACACACACACACACACACACACACACACACACACACACACACACACACACAGGAATCCCACTAAGGAGAAAGTAGATTGGATTTGATGAAAAGTGCTCAGAAATAGTGCCAGATTTGGATTTATTCATTTTCTTTAAAATGGAGCAATATGCATTTATTAACAATATATTTGGGATTATAGCCAAGCAGGTAATTTCCATCTCCAGTCCCATTAGCAGGTTGGTGTCAATACATAAAACCAAAAGCAAACATCAATAATAGGAGTGAAACACACAGAGCATACCAGCAACACTATAGATGACATACAGACCAAAATAAATGAAAACAGGCTGAGAGTTGGGGAGACCACAGACTGAATCATAAAGTGCTGGAGTGCTAACTAAAGTGCCATAGCGCTCAAGTGCCAAATGCTTAAGTTCACAGTGCTAGCTGCCCGGGAGCTCAGGTCTCCATTATAGTGCACATTGCCCAATATTGCACAGAAAAAAAGATTGAAAAAGAAAAAAAAAAAAAAAAAACCTTTACCCTTAGAGGCGGAGCATGGACTTTTGACATGGAAAATCCCATTGTGTCCAAACCTGCTATTTGAGTCTGCCAGAGGTTCACAGCCATTTGAATGCAGAAATGCTCAGAAGTGCTATTTCACTCTTAGTTTTCATATGATACATCGTCTAGCATCAGAAAAATATGCCAGACAAGAAAAACAGGGTTTTTTATTAGGGTCTCATGGGTCTTTGAGTTGAAGATTGTGCCTCGATAGCATACTGATTGGAGATCATCAGTGTCCATGTCATGAGTATCTTCCACATCTGTGAAGGTCCCATTAGTGCTGAACAATAACTACAGGTTTAGGAGCAACATCTGCTGACATCCACACAAAGATTTTTTCAGGGAAGACCTTCATATTTCAGCAAGACCATGACAAACCACATTCTGACAACAGGGATTACAACAGCATGGCTCTGTAGTAGAAGAGTCCTGCTGAGAAACTGGTCTGCCTGCAGTCCTGACTTGTCACCTTTATAGAACAAAGAACATATTCAATGTATATTTTAAATGCAGCATATTGACTCAACTAACTGGAATCTTTAGAAATTAATCTGGTTATGGTCTGCAATTTTCTTTGGGGAGAGTGATAGGATGGTGCCCTCTCTAGTGACTGGCTGGTACTGCCATATAAAAAGACCTCACAAAAATTGCAAATCCTACACAAACTGCTGAGATTTGTATTTAAATAGCCACCTGCTAAGTGTATTCCTCAGTAAATAACACAGTAAGGTAGATTATGGCTTTGTTTGAGGATAAACAGAGTGCAGATTTATAGATGTGCTTTGTTAACCAAACTTCCCAATGTCAAGTACAGCGCAGTTCATCTCTGCGTCAAGTGAGCAGGATATATTTGTTGTTTAGCATTTTAACAAGCCCTCTACTTAAATATTAATAAGAATAGTTTAGAAAAACTACCTCATATTGGATGTAAACTATTTTCAATTAAGCTTCATCTGCACAATTTAAATCTAAAACTGTATATATGTGTTTGTTTGGGCAGCACACTCAAAGCTCCAGGCTACAGCTCCCAAACGTCCCTATCTGCTATCTGACACTCCCACACACCAACACACACCAGCACACACACCAACATTACACCCAGCCAATTTACAGCCCTGTGGATCTCCAGATTGTGTTTGCTGCAAAGTCCAATTGGCGCCTCTCCAAAGCACTATTGAACATATTCCCTGTCTCTGTTTTCTTTATCGTCCTATCAAGATATTTCCCCTGATGGTGAGCCTGTTGCAGGTGGGAGCGAGAGGAATTGTATGTCTGAATAATGAACTCACACCTTTCTCCTTTTTCTCTGCCAAGCACTGTATAAACCCAAGCCATGCTATATCTGTTCTCTGTCGCCGTGTGTGCTCATCTACAAGCTGTGGAAGAAAAAGCCTGATTCAGGGGGACGACAGTGCTCCACAGCTGATAATCCACTAATTGAAATTTGGTTTTGCAGTGAGAGGGACGGTGCGAGAGGAGGACAAACAGATAGAAGAGAATTAAGACTGGGTAGGCTGTTAAAATAGGCAGGCGGCATAATCAATAGCAGTTAGGGGAGTGTGTGTTGTGTCAATCTAACAGCTTGTTCTTGTTCTGGGGGGACAAACCCCAGACGTGAATACTGCTCACCAGAGCTGCATCCAGATTGACGTTCCACTTTATTGAGATTTAGTGGGTCTGCATGGATTTGAATGATCCTCAGCGCAGTCTGTCACTTGTCATGATAATGAATGGAAGATGACAGGTTCACTGCTCACTGTCTCAGGCGCCAAAACTTTATGACAAGGGCAGCCAAGAGATCTAAGTATGACAATATTTGCAGGGCCTGAATCATGATCAGTAGGAAAATAAGAAGGATGGTGTCTCGGTAGATGTGATGATACAAAGCATCTGGAATTACTTTGGAATATCTTTCAGTATAATTAAAAAGTTCCTGCAGAGGTACAGCAGAGGTTTGAAGATGAACCAAAGTCTAAAAACATTTGTAACTGACTTTTTGGGTCCGATTTGAGCCATTTTGACTTTGAACAGCAGTAAAAACAACCTGGATGTTATTATTTTAGCTAAAAACTGTGGTGAGACGCCTCCTCATCCTGTTTTATTTTGGCTGGACTTCCTGTATTTCCCTGTTTGCCTGGTCTGGCTTTACTCTTTTCCAGAGCTTCCTCCCCTCCCCCGGCGCTGAGGCTGAGTGAGTCGACACACCTGCTCCACATCTCCAATCAAGGCACTTTAAGAAGCCTGCAGCCCTCAGTCTCAGCGCCTGAGCATTGTCTACCCTTCCTAGCGGTAAAGACGCGTCTCCTGGCCAACCTTGTTTGTATAATCATCAGAACTTTGCTCCTCATGATTCTGTGCATGTACTTCCATCTCCTCTGGTTTTTCCTGCAGTGTCTCCAGCCCACACGACAGCCAGCCAACCAGCCTACCGGGCATCCTCTGTTGCATTATCTACCCCTTTTGTTTGGACATTAAAATTCTCTTTAAGTTGATCTCAGTTTCAGTGTCTGCTTCTGGGTCCTCACCACGAACCTGCCACACTACAAAAACTTCATGACTATTCCTCGAGTCACTCAGAATATGAAAAAATAAACATTTCGAGTTTTTTCTTTGAAAAAACGTTATTAAGTGAAGCCTCTCTGGGTTCATTTGGACTTGTATTTATTGATCAAGTAAGGAAAAAGTTGATTTTAGGAAATCTTGAAGCAATATAACTGCATATCTGTGAGAATACAATCTTAAATGTCAAGATCCAAGTCCAGTAAAAGAGTTTTTCCAAACATATAACATCCTTAAAGAGCCACAGGAAATGTCTAATTCACAAAGGCTTTATGATCCTTTTTGGTTGGTCTGTGAACCATTTCACCATGTTAGAGCAGGGGCTGGATCTTCTTTCTTTCTTTCTCAGATAAACTACCTCTGTGAAGATGTGATGGTTGACTCTTTCTGCTCACAAAGAGCTCTTCTCAGTATCATTAACATACAACAGTTGGCTTTTAGAGCCAAGTCATCTGCCACTGGTACATGGACTCTCTCCTTGGTGTTAAAAAGAAAATGGATTTAATAAAGGTCACAGGTTTTTTTCTCACTATTTGCACTGAAAAAATCCAGAATGAACACAATTGTTATGACCTGTCTAACAATGGGGTAATTTATTTACAAGAAAAAAAGGATAATTATAGAACAACAAAGAGTGTTCATCTCCTCAGGGTGCAACAAAGAAGATAAATAATAACTAAGAAAACTAACAACTAATGAAAATGATCTAAAGTCTTCTCACTTAGGTGATATGGCGGTTTAGGATGTCGTGGATATCAAGGGTTTCCCCTGCACTGTGGTGATGTCACTTTCCCTCCCTTAAATCAAAAATCCAGCAGCCTACCGCCTGTCCAGACAGAGCAGCCAATCGGGAGCATGCAATGGCACACCTAATTTACATGTAAGATAGGCAACAATCTCACCACAGACACTCAAGACAAAACCAGTCTAGTGAAAACACAGAATAACGGAACATTATGAATGCGGTCTTAACACAATACAAACAATTAAATCTGAGATAAGTCAAACCATGAGAGCACGCCACAGTCGGATCAGCCACTTCTGAGCCAACTGGATGAATTTCTGGCATGTTTGAAATTCTGGTCAGCCATTTTCACACACAGTGATTCCTCATCTTCAGGGCTTTTTCTTTTTCAGGTTGCACCTATGTAAAAATTGGGAATGATACAAACACGTGAAATATTCTATGGGTACCTGTGGAATGTACCTCATCTAAAACATAGGACAGATTTATCATGAGGTTGTCACTGTCCCATATGATGTTAATGTGTTTTCAATATCAGCTCTAACATTAGAGCTTTACTACATATCGCCTGACTGTAAAATAAACTTGCTTCATGAGACCAGCAGCTTTTTGAAATTAGAAGTAATCTGTAATGATTTATGGAGAGAAAAAGTGTCATTTCTATTGTTGGCTGATTATTCTAAATGGGTGCTGACATACAGTTTAGTTAGCCAATCAGAGGCTGTCTTTGTAATCAGCTGACCCAGTTAGAAGTAAGGGCAGTCTGGGACAGACATCCTGTTCTTCTTTTAGTTTAGAAACAGGGAAGATAGACTGGTTTTTAGAGGATTCAGCCTGTTCTCATATTAATAAATCTGTGCTCTGATTTTTGCGCCTCATTTACACACAATTGTTATTTTTTATTTTTTTATTTCAATTAAGTGTGACCAATTAACTTTTGTATACTGAAAACACTCATTTAAAAATGTCACAATTATCAGCCTGCCTTGTTTTCTTCGATGTTTTTATTTTATAATTTTTAAGAAAATGTCTCTCTGTAGGTTTAGTCCTCAAAAGGTCTTCTCCTACACATTTGTGAAGGGGGTGGTCTCTATCAGAAATGCCTGTTTACTGTTTAGTGAAAACAAAGGGAACTGTGTGTTAACTTCGGGGTCAGCCTGGGTGAGGTTTTTCTTTCATTACAGTGAGCACAGGCCCTGTGTTAATGCTGACTTAATCCCACATGCATCCTCTTGTTTCTCCAAATTACACTGGATCGAGAAATGTGTACTAATCCCTGAAAACAGTCCCCAAATAATTCCTGTCCTTATCGCTGTTTAAATGTTGTTTTTCAAGAACTACTAAGCTGTTCCAGATAACTGTATATGTGTGACTTGTTCTCGGTGTTTACAAGGAGACGATGCACTGAGGGCTGAGTGAGTGAGTATTGGATTTGCAGAAAATCAGAGAAAATATTGAAGAAGGCCAGCCTCATTGTTCAAATACTGTAGTAAAGCATGTGAATATGTCATCTTTAATCTCAAAGCAATCCCATCGTGGCTGCTGCAAACAAATAGGATCATTTTGGAGATCAGAGAGTTTATTTTTAGGCATATGCACAAGCACAGAGATTTCTTAAACACAGACAGTGTGCTCAGCAGAGGTGTGGTCAAATAGCAGGATTTAGCATTTATGGGTACATCTCAATCACTTCACTTTTCTGTTATGGTGCTCCTATTTGTGACGCAGGTAGATTTCCACATTTTCAAAGCGTAAGTGTTGACCTTTCACACTTCCTGCTAAACTAAAGTGGCTCTACGGTGATAAAATGTTGAATTTTTGAATCATTTGCTCTGTGAAAATGACATTGGGCAGTTTATTCATGACTGTGGAGAGTTGTCATATGATTTCAGATCTAAAATATTTAAATATCCATCAGCTTACTGGCTGAAATATGTGACTTTTCCAGAGAAGTGATCAGCTGAAAAGCTTTATGTAACACAGACAGACTCAGGATGGCAATATGAATAAGCAAACTGCTACGGGGGATGCTTTTTACATATTGAGTTTTATTTTAAATCCGGCAAAGATGCACACACTGACAGGATGAGATGAAAGAGAGATGATGATTCAGTCTGGTGCACGCTGGGCCATTGTCACCGCCATAGAGAGGAATATTACCCACCGTCAGGCTTAGCAGCTGACCAAATCTATCTCTGTCTGCCGCCTGCTTTTCCTGCCTCTGTTTATGTCTCCTTTCAAAACCTATTTATGATAATGTGTTTCATATGAAAGATGTGATATTACCCAGAAACATCGGCCAGTTTTGTTTGATATTAATAGATTTAAATATGATTGTGTGAAACAATGGACTAATCCAATCTAAATCATGCAGAACACTACATTACAAAATCAACATAGGGCTTAAAGAACAGCCTGCAGAAACAGCTCTGAGACAAAAACATGTTTTATCCAGCGAGGAGATTATGATGTCCATGACTTACTAAAATTTAAGCATTGTCAGTCCCTGATTCAACGTAAATAAAAAGACATTATTTTAACAGGAAGCTATGCTAAAAGCCATGTTCAAAGAAAAAAAAAAGGTCTTTTATTAATAAGTACAGAGATGTTATGCTTTATTTGCGAAGTCCTCATCAACTATAATGCAATAACATACCATGAAAATGCCAATTTTTTAAGTCTTTCTTTAAAATCATTAAAACAGAGTAAAGAGTAAGAAACATTTGAAAAAAATGAAGTGTGTAGTGTTGTAGTCTGTTCAACAGTCCAGAGTCTCCTTTGTCCTAGTTTTGGTGTCATGGTGCTCCATGGTGCCCTGTTTTCACACACTATGGTTTTCAAGTGATTTTAAGCCCATGCAGTAATTTTCAATGCTGGTTTTATGATTAGTATTGTTATTATTATTATTATTACATAATTTTTTGCCTGTTTGTTTTGTTTTTTTACTTTAAAATGAGCTTATATTTCTCAAAAAATTATAGTGTTTTTAGCTAACAGCTACTTTTGCTTTGTCATGATTGGACTCTTTCAGTCAGTTACATGATTGAAATTATGTGCTAAGATTAGTTCTTGTGGCACTTAAAACACAAGCCCCTGCCTTCAATGCAAAAAAAATTGGAGTCCTGGGTGGGAATGACACAAGGGGCTTCCTTTGTGCCTCGTGGCTGGCGCAGTGCAAGTCAGGTCTGCTTGCTGATAAGGCGTGCCCAAGCATAGTTTGGTAATTTCGTGAGCTTTTGTGACCTCAGTCAACAAAATTACCAAATTGCACTAAATTACCACTGCGTGGGGTGTATGCCACCCTGTGCCGCGCCACTGACGGGCATGAAAATAGAGCCCAAGATGTCAAATAACTTTAAGTGGTCAGGAGAAAGAGATCCATAAAGACAACTGATTTCCCAGCTCAAGAGACTTATTAATATTTCATGCATAATGATTAAAACAGCTCTGTTTGATGTAATTTGTTCTTTCACAGTGTTACATCACAACAAATCCACAAGCCTCCCCTGACATAAGACCAAACAGAAAACAAATCTGATGTTAAATAGTTTTCTTCTGTCTACATGGTGTAATTAAGATGTGGTTTAATTATTACTCTTAAGTATGATTGCTGTCAGTTATTTTTTTTAACAAGGGGGGAAATCTACCTGTGGTCTGGGATAATTAGTCATTAGTGATATGATTTCAATGTGATCAGCATTTTCCGTCTGTCAAAGAAAATTCCTCTGTGCAGGTAAAGCAGCCTTAGACAAGTAAAATCATTACAGCTCCCTGATGAGTTTTTGTGTTTCGAAAGGGGGGAAATATCAGATTTTAGCCAAACCCACAAGCTACATTATACAACAATTATACTCATTTATAGTCATTTGTATTGCACAGCAGTGCTGGATGGTTGCCTGAGGTGTTGATATACAGCATAATGATGAAGTTTCAGGTCAGGATAATGGCTCAATCATCGACAACTTCATTCTCTGAGGTACGGTATTGGAAAATCCATCTATAGTTTCCTAACTGTATGTATCCCTTGACATCAAACTGTTGGATTCAGAGCAGGAAACCTGCAGAGCAAACTCACCTGCACCTGCTGCTTTTAAATGTTAGGTTCAGCAGCAGTGGAAATTTACTCCCACACAAAACCAAACTCTGACAGAATA